ACACTTACATTTGACCTGTAGTAAAGACAAAAAAACACACGAAGAAAACTCATCTACAAGAGACGGGTGTCTCGGACGTCGAAAATACACAATAATTAAATATTCAGATTTTCCTTTAAAAAGCTAACAATCATCAAAATACTTATTACAATATCGAGGTTAATAACCAGGTTAGCTCTGATTGACAACCGGCAAAACCGAAACACGAACGTCACACTTCACTGTTGGACTCCTCTCCACGAGTCTTGTGGTCTTTGGTCTTTACCACAGGTCAAATGTAAGTGTTTCCAATGCAGTTTTCTTGAATTCGAATTTTTAGCATTCTGATTAAGGACCGCATTAGTGTCCGGACATAGTGACCGCATATAGATGACAGATTGAAGATTGTGTGCTCTTAATTTCGCCTCTACTGCCGAGTACCCAAAGAAGAAAATTTAAATAATAGACGATACGACAACTTTTCTTGTAATATATATATATATACTAAACAAAAATGCCAAATTGATTTTTTTCAAAAAAATAAGTTTGACGTTTTCATATCTATAGTTATTCATCAAATTCAATTATGCCTCAGTTTTGACAAAGTTGTGGTGTACAACGAAACGTCAACGGAAATAAAACTTTTTATATTGAAAATAACCTGTTATCGCTACAAGTATTGAATATATATATATATATATATATATATATATATATATATATATATATATATATATATATATATATATATATATATATATATATATATTCTATACTTTATTGGTCGTTAATGTGATCAATGTTGTGAAGCAGAGTTATTAACAAAGAAATGTTTTAAACTTACGACAAACTCCTTTCGAAATATATTCGCTGTGAAATTTTTGGAAATAAGAAAATATAAGCATTTGCATCTTTTTTAATTTGGATTATAATGAATAGGGATCTGAATAATAGATTCTTTGCAGCTTTTTTCCATTTTAAATGACATTTTTGTGCATACAGAGGCACTATATAAAACATTCTTTTCTAGCAAATGCTTTTCGTTATTTGTGTTATTCACTTCCGAATACAAACGTTAAGGCAAAATTAATGATACATTATTACTTTCAGCTAAGCTATTTCCGTGTTCTAAATGTGGAAAGTTATAATCTAATCTGCATATTTATATACAATTTCAAATTTAGATTGTGGAAAGTCGAAACTTTCATGGTCTTATGAAAATTGTAGCTATTCTTCCACAAGATTGGGTAATTTTAAACGGCACCTAGCTTGTAAACACAGCATTTATTTATCCAAATTCAGTTCTTGAAATCTGAATAAATTATACTGTACGGATCTGAGGTTTTTCTCTTTTTCCTTCAAGTTATTCCTTTTATATTCTTGATTCTTTTTTTTTCAGTTTTTCTCTTTGCCACATGATTATATAATTTGACGAGCAACTTACATTTTTGGAACAATTTGTAGTACAGACTTTTAGATATAGATTGAGTTGATCAATTTTTCTTCAGGAAAGAGATCACATAATCTTTTTATTCAATAACTTAAATTTGAGAATATTTCAAATATTTTCACAATTTCAAAAAATTTTAAAATCATTAGAATATTTTAACAATTGCTATATATAATTTGTTTATACATAACTTTTTTATGTTCAAACAATGGCTTTCAAATATAGGAAATATTATTATGTTGAAGTTTCTGTATGAATGGAATGAACCTCCGAAATTCTGACACGAGAGAGTTTTATTGTTGGCATTATTGTTGGTTTCTACTGACAGAAACATAACGAAAAAATGAAATGGTTTATGATTTATTCAGTGTAAAATACCGGTGCATCACTAGCTTTAAAATTATTCTTTTATTAACTGGGTTACCAACCAGTGTTAATGTGAGTTATGTTAATGTAAATGTTATGTGAATGCATTTTCGTCACAAAAAAAATATTTACAAATTGTGTTTTTATTGAACTTGTACAGAAAATTCGTGAATATCTCCATTTACTTTGGTTCATTGATTCGATTCACCAGCAGTATTATTTGTAGTGGGCTAATTTTAGTTATAAGAACTTTTAGTCATGTATGGTGTCCAAATGAGAGGTAATAAGAAATACTTGTGTAAAAATCATTAACTGAACAATTCTTTATTCGACTAGTTTCGCCTTTTACGGCATTACCAAGAATTTTTACAATTTTAGCCCTGAAGAAGAAAATAAGCATTTACAAAAGACAATGTGAATTTTCACGGAATCTCATCTGGTATATCCAGTGGAGAATACTGGATGAGATTTCGGTGAGATCTATTTAAAACCGTTAAATTAGGTTTTACGGTCAATTTTATGATCTGGAATACAATATCTGAAACCAATAAAACTGAAATATAAAAACTTGTTTTAAATATTTAGTTTGTCTGGTGTAGGGTCTGTAGTAATATATAAGTTTCAATTTGTAATTAGTGTATCCATAACAGACATTTAAGTAGACATATGAACTAGCATGCTTCTTGAAATCTTATCACTATGAAAAATAATTATTTTATATTTCAGGCTCCTCAAGTAGTATACGTAATGAAGTGTTGAAAAACGTAAAGTTTATTGATAATACGTGTCCCGTATGTGCAAAGAGGTTCAAAAGAAAGGACCACGTACAAAGGCATTTCGTGGAACTACATGCATACAAAGTTGTCACTGAAATGGGGTACAATTGTCCAAATTGCAGAAAATTGTTCAAACGGAAATATCTAATGGACCATCACAAAAAGCATTGTAACGGAAGTAAAGCTCTGGCTTGTTACACCTGTGAAATGAAGTTCAACCAAAAAACGTCTTGGATAGCTCATATGCAAACAACACACAGTGTTATTTTCAATTGAATATCAGTACTTTCTTATTTTCACAATTGAAGGAATTTACCTCTACTTCTGATTTGGCATATGTTGGTTACATTTTATATTTTTTTGTTCTCTGCATTTCTATAGGTACTTATTTTTGTTTTCGAAATTCAATTAGTTGAGAATATTTTTATTTTTCCGGCACACTTTCTATTTATTAATGAGCTCGTATTTTATTTGCAACACATTATTAAGTCGATATACCTATTATAATTGGTTTTTCATTTCTAGGTGATGTTATAATTTTTTGTAATTGTGAATAATATTTTAATACCATTATCAATATATATATATATATATATATATATATATATATATATATATATATATATATATATATATATATATATATATATATATATATTCCATTATATTGGAAATATAATGTAATTTGTGAAGGAATTAATATTTTTTTAAGAAGTCTGTGGGATGAATGGAATTAGCAACTATTTTGATGGTGATGAAAGCACATTTAGTTTAGCAATGCAAAGAATTGTACATAACTTTATTTTTGTACCTTTCGACTAGGAATTGATATATCTCTGGTGGTTATTTATTGTTCAGACATAATGATGTTGATGAAATACATGTTCTAGATAACACTAACTGTCAACTAAAACCAAAAAGTTGATTCTTTTGCGATTCATGGATTCAGAACTACGTATATATACTTAATATATGAATTTTTACTTTTGTATGGTATATTTTTGAAATAAATAATATGTGTTCATTGATCTTTTTATTGAATAATATTCATCAATAACTTCATTCATCATTCTGCAGAAAATTTTCATAATGTTTCAGTTGAAAACGACAGGATTGCTAAAAAGCAAATTCGACTTGGTTTACATGTAAGCTGAAGACAATATAAGGTTGTTTAGTATGAAAACATTCGCAAATTCGAAAATTGAACGTATTTACATTTCATACTTCGTTTTGTTTAGGAATTTGAATTATGATTCGATGATCTTATTTTGATCTCGAATTCTAGATATATAACATTCTCATTCTGGTATTATTGATGATAATTGAAGAAATTTGTCGTAGAAATACTTTTGGTGTAAAATTTAACAAATTTTGTCTTTGGTGTGCATAACGTAGATATTCATTTCGATTTTTTTCAGGTGATCGTCGTTTCTTTTGCCCGAAGTGTGCTAAACAGTTCACGAGAAAAGATCATTTGACCAGACATAAACTCGAACAGCATACAGGTGTTGTAACCAAGCATGCATGTGAGTTTTGTGGCAGATATTTCAAGAGAAGATATCATTTGAGTCGACACATGCAGAAATGTACTCTTAAAAAAGAATCATGCAATTCGAACTTATCAAATGATGAGGATATACCCATAAACTGGAAAGAGGATGCTATGCGATACAATTTTCTTGTGCCTGAAATGAACTTATTTCAAGAGATCTAAATTGACCACGAGTCTACTAATGACATAGTGATGCTGAATATATTTTGTACTGAATATATTTCTTCCCTTCTGTATTTTATTACGTATTGTTTTCAATAAAACAATTTATAAACAAAAGTTACATTCTGATGAACTTATCAATTTTTTTTCATACACTTAGATTTTATTTGAGCAACAGGAAGTATTATACGCACATATATACATATCTCGTCGGATATTTCTTCAACATATTTTTATATTTTAAGAATATAGATGCTTGAGCAGATATATTTCTCCGTATGCAATTCAAGAGAGATCTATGAGGGAAATCTCGAAATTGCGACTTTACACAAGGTGCAAAATATGTATTTAAGAAACGAGATGAATTCATGAAAAAAAAAATATGTGAAAGACTGATTTTAATCTCTGAATGTTTTGTTGATACATCGACATGTCACTCAGTTTACAAATTTTGAGATTTTCAAATAAATTCCTTTCAATTATTGAAAATTTGCTTCCTTTTTTACGAACCTCATTCATATAATAATAAACGGAGAAATAAAAGAATTATCCAATTTGGTGTAGCCGTTTCTGAGTTATTTTTACTACATACTACATTTTTACTACATACTTTGGGGTGCTTAATTTTTATTTATATGTGTTGATGTTTTGGGTTGACTTTTCGACAAGGTCAGTATGTGATGAATAGATGTCAGACAAACAATATTCTTTTTCGGTTTTCCATTTGACTCAGTTGGAAAAACATCCGACTATGGTTCGGTAAGATTCGGGTTCGAGTCCCGGTGAAGACATGGGTGTCTGTGTATGGCTTGAGATGTTGAATAAAGATGATAAATCGTTGTGCAATGTACACAGAGAAGCAAATTTGCTGTTTGTATCCCTCATTGAACTGTAGGACCACTGAGTTGAAAAAAAATATATTGTTGTTGCAATTTCAGAACTTCGATGTTTAAGCACAAAAGACACCTGACCAGGCATCATAATAATAAATAACTTTCCGTTATTTTATGAATACATTTATATAAATAAATTTTATAAAGAACAATTTCTGTCTACATTTGTCATATGTTCAAATTAATTGTTAATTCAATTTTCGTTTCTTTGTGTCACTCTATTTCGTGATTCCGGCAATAATGAAAATATAATATTTTTATTCCACAATGAAGATATTTTTCACATGTGGAATATGGTTTTATTATTTGAAGCGTTTATAAAATTATTGACATGCAAATATCATAATTAAAATTTTTTTATATTTATGTTATATATTTAATATTTTTAGCAATAATACTTAGGCTTATTTTAATGTTAAAAACTTCATTTTCGTTTAAGTTTCGTTGTATATCACAACTTTGTCAAAAGATAAATGAATAATTCAATATGTTTTATATATTAGTTAGTACTTAGTATGAATTTAAGTAGATAAGTTTTGACAACGTTGATATACAACGAAACGTCAACAAAAATAAAGCTTTCAACAAAGAAAATAGCCTGTTTTTGCTGAAAATATCAAAAATAGAGCTGTCTCAAACAGGCAATAAATTAATTTTGAATATATATTCGAAATTATATATATATATAAATATATTTACAAAAGATATTAAATATTTGAACATGATATTCTCTTGTAAAAATCATTCTAATATATTCATATTTTAGGCAAGCAGAGACATGAAGAAAATCATTTCAGAGACACGTTGTTTGGTAGATTTTTCTGCATTAGCTGTAGTAAAAGTTATAAACATAAAAGGCATCTCTCCAGTCATATCAGATATGAATGTGGAAAAGAACCAACGTTTACATGCCAGGAATGTCTCAAGAAATTCTTCCAGAAATATACGTTAAATGCTCATCTTCGTCAAATGCATAAAATTGACGTTTAGTCATGTCATCCTTGAAGATCTCAATCTTCCCAATTTTGAAATTGAATGTTATTTTCTTCATTTTGTAATAACCATCAACTTAATTTTTCATTTGCTTTCGTAGTTGATGTTGATAATGGTATTCATAATTGCAAGTAAATATACAATATATGTGAATTCATACGTTGTGTGGACAGAAAACCAAAATCTATAAGCGAGTCATAGAATTCTGTATCAAACACATAATTTTATGAAGCGTAAGAAGCTTTATTTCATTATAATTCAGCAGAATATTTTGTACCCAGTTGAAGTGGTAAAAAAAATTTAGTTTACTTAGTAGATGATAGTTTCATTTTATTTTTACTTTAGTCAAGTTTCATTTTTTAATCGAATGAAAAATAAACATTTGATAACAAATTAGAGATTTAAATTTGTTATAACTGGATGTTGTGCATCAATGACATTGAATGTTTCAGTTTCAAATTTCTGCATTCTATTTTTGAATCGTTTTAGTCTTCATGCAAAATATATTTTTTTTATGATACAATGTCGATTTATGTTTATTTATGTCGAATGTATATTATTATGTTTCTTTCATGAATAAATATATAAAAATTGATACTTGATAGTTTTTATGTTTATTTCAGAACTTTCAATTTGGGGAATCAAGTATTCTTCCCCCAATTGTAATTCGAACATTTTTCAATGAGCAATTAATTATTTTCAGCTGTGAATTATTTTTTATAGAGACCTTTACTTTGAAGAAAATGATCATTGCATCGTGCAGTAGGTAACGTTTTATGGAAGTTGAAATTTTGGAGATGTTACAGTTTATTTATTTGGATACTGTGATATTTTCCATAAATGCATATTCTGTATAAATTGCAACTGAAAATTCAGACCAGTATCTGAGAAGTGAAGAACCGATAAATTGACCAGATATTTGAAATTGTAATATATACATAATACCCTAATGTAGTGCTTCCGGCATAAAACCTTCTTTCCAATTCCCAACCTGTAATGAATAACGAAACACAATTCAAAGACAAAGAGGTATAATATGCCATGTCTTCATCTTATGTGAGATTTGTATATGTAATCAATATTTTTCAACATAAAATTACGAGTCTCGCAATTCACTACAATGCTAGATTTCCGTCAAAACAGCGAGGAAGGATTATTACCACTAAAAATAGTAAATTAAAATTAACACACTTGGCTTAAGTTTCACTGAAAATATTAAAAACTCCAAATATGTTTCGGGTGGTTAACCCATATGTAGAGTTTTTAATATATTCAGTGAAACTCAAGTCAAGTATGTTAATTTTAATATATTGTTTTTAACATGATGTTTCACCAAGAGATAAGCGAAACCTCTTTGTCATTTACTACAACCAAGATCACAAAAAATATTCATATGTTATGTACTGTAAAAATATTTTTTTTCTCCCGTGGAGAACTCTTCCAACAGTACCTTATATTTGTGTAGAAGTTAAATTATGACTCTTCGCAGATAATGATCATCCATAAAACTGTAGTAAAAAATTTAGTATAGACTTGATTATTTTCACTAACCGAATATTTTCCACTATTTTGTTTTCAGATAAGTTATTTGCGTGCCCAAAATGTGGTTTAAGATACAAAAGAAAAAATCATCTCAAACGACATATGACCTATAGATGTGAAAAGGAGCCTTCTTTCCAATGTACAGTGTGCCAAAAAACCTTTCACTATGTGGAATCATATACAACTCACTTGACCAAAGTGCATCATTCGTGAATGATGGTATCAGAATAATAGTTTTGGACAAGTCTGTAACTTTTGTTGTTTTTTCTTTTTTTATTGAATTCATTATACATCTTGTATGTATTTACTGTATAATACTTTTTTCAAAGATAGGTTTAAAATTTATGATGGTTTTCTTTGTCAACTCGTCACCTCTCTGGGGATTTTAAAAATGTATGTTTTCAGTTTTTTGAGACAAGAGGTATGCATCAGATGTGCGAATTGAGATGATTGATGATGATTATTTAGAAAGAGCCATTTTAGAATTATTTAAAGGATACTTTGACATATCTGTTTTCTAATTTATCGAAGGTTATAAAATTCAAATCATTAAATGTTTGTCTCATATATTGTTCTTTTTTTCTCCATTTTCAAGATGAATAACCTTTTAGCTGGAATAAGCCATATCTTCTTCAAGGGTTAATTAGAATAGTTTCATACTTCTCACGGGTTCGCCGAATTAAAGGTTTCGGCGAAGGTTATTCATTCTATATTTATCTTTTATTGAATCTATTCATGAGCGTTTCTGTCAACCATCTATGGACAAGTTATGTGATATTCAGTTTTTGTTTCTGATAGAAAGCATTGACATGTAAATTATTGAAATAGTACTTTATATTAGACTTTTTGTACAATCATCCTATAACTTATGGTAAGGTATCTAAATAACATTTAAAATATCCCAAAAACTGATTTAAGTCCAGGTGTGCAGTTTGATACTGATATTATGATTCTTGATAAAAATGAGACTTTTTTGTTTTCATCAAGTCAATTATCTGAAGATTTCACAATAATGGAATATTAATATATATTAATGATTTAAGTACGTTAGAACGATTGATAACACAAGCATTTTTAAACTGAAATAATATGAAACCTTTTCTCGTGTATTAATTAATATACGAATTGATAATTGATGAGGCCGATATTTGGAGAAAATTGCTATTCATAATAAAACAGTGTTTAAAATTTTCTCATAATTTTTGAGAATTCTCATAAATTATGGAAAAATTTTAAATATTGTTTTATTAATTAATATTCGTGTAAATTACTTATTGAGGTTGTAATGTCCAATAAAATAGAATTCAATACAACTCCAAGAGGCAAAACAAAAAGAATGGAGGTCTTTGAAATTAATGAGTAGCTGAAATGTTAAAAATTTCCTGTTTGAATCATCTTCAGTGATTTATAATAATAATAGTAATACATTTATTCCCAACAGATATACATCCTATTATAGAGAAAAAATAACAAATTGTACACAAATAATGGTAAATAAAAAAAAACAATGGAAAAGAACAAAAAAAGAGTGTAAGCGAATATATACCACGAAAAAATTAAATTAAAATAAATTGAAATAGTATTGAATAACAACCAGATGGAACAAACTAAAAATAAAATATTGTCTATTATAAAGTTACATATGGTCAGCAGAAGTTGACCATATAGTAACGAAATATATTTGATGATTAAAAACGAAATTAAAATCGATTGCAAGAGTAATATATAGTAAACAAATGGAACAAACTGAAATTAAAATATTATTTATAACTAAGTCATATGTAGACAACAGAAGTTCCGGAAAATATCACGACATCCCATTGCGCTGTTCTGAGTGGCATGCCAAGATAACTGATAGCCGATCAAAATAGATATCACATCGATCGCAACACCCATCACTAAGATTACATACACAGTTGATCGGAGAACGTGACATAACATTTGATCTGCTGTAAGTGACATAAAATGTATTATTCCACCTCAAACCAAGCCTTGGTAAGCGAATTTGCTGAGAAGAAATGGTGAGTCAATCAAATTGTGTGAAATTTTTAAGATTTATGCAATCAAAATACGAGAAAGGGGAACATATACTGCTCTGTGATAAAAATTGAACGTTTAAACTTGTAATCCAAGAAAAAAACGGTGGAAGGCGAAATTCCAGAATGGAAAAATGGCGCCAATACAGGCATGACAATAATTGACTCATTTTTTGTCTCAGTGAATAAAGTTAGATGAGCTAATGAGAAACTCAAGGCATTGAGGGTATAAATACTATGAGGTGCATTGATGAAGATATCACGAGGGCTTGGTGTTTTCCAGTTGCAGTTGTCCTAGGTAAAATTCTACATAGAAAATTAGTTTTT